TTCTGTCGTGGGTGCCGTGGGGTAGCCACGGCTGCTATCTTGTAGTCCCGACACTCCTTGCCCCATCTCAGTCTGGCCTTTACAAACAAGGAAACAGTCACCCAAATTTCAGAAAAGAATTACAGAACCAACTTTACCATTTCAAAATGCAAATTTTTCTTCTTTCCCAAAACTTCACATTGTTCCTTAATGTTTCCAAACTGTAAATCGGCTCACAGAGAAATTTTGAATACATCTAGAAAAATCTGAGGCATAGCAGAAAAACGTTTGCTAGCCTGGGCAGAACTGCACATACATTTTCTTGTCTCAAAGCAGCCTCTGAAACATCAGGTTTTTCATAATTTCCTGAGATTTTCTTAGACTTGGTAACTTCATAATCGATATGTATTTTTTTTTCTAGAAGACGACTGCACTATAATTTCTAGCAGCCTTCCCCAATACCTCTTGATTTGAAACCAAGTCCACTTTTTTCAATACTGAAATGTCATGCTGAGTTTGTTAACTGCATCTGTGAAAAGCAGAGTTTTGTAGATTGTTAGGCAAAGACCTCTAGCATTAAAAGGCACGTGGGAAACGCAGCACAGCGAGGTGTGAAAAAAGTAAAGGAAAGACCTGTTCCTTCATTTACGATGCTCTCTCAGGCATCAGCCCATTACCTGATTTTACTTTTTCCATCTTTTCATATAAATCCTAAGAAGTACAACTTTTCAAATGGATTTGAGTTATGAGTCTTCTGAAATGAATCATATAGAGAAAAACAGGCGGATTCCCAGAAAAAGCAAACTGATAGTAGAGCAAATAATAAATAGGTAGCAATGGAGCAGTCATATCTTCAAACATTTTTTTATACTTCTACTGGTCATGATATGATGCATCTTGAAAGTCAATATCTTTTTTTGTCAGATTTTGAAGTGGCTGATTTTTTCAATTTTGTATTTTTTAAATCAAAAGAACAACGCAAAATAGGAACATTTTCTGATATTTCACAAACTCTGTGAAACATTTCAAAATACCTATGTTTTTCCTGTTTAGTTCACCTAATCAGCAGGTGCTCTGTGCTGATTTAAAAAAGTCTGGGCTTTTTAGATGTCTCTCTGGGCAAAGCTGCCTGTGTGCTTACCTGTGCTTTCAGAGGCAGTATTAGAGCATCAGCACATGCTTTCCAATTGGTTTCAGCCAGCTGAACCACAACTAGTTGCACATCAACTTTGGCAGCATCGGAACGAACATATGCTGTAGCTTGATAACCTTGATTTCTGTTGTCACTCCTTACTGCCTGTGCCACAATTGTAATGCCAGGTGGAATTACGTCTCCCAGGAAGTTGCGCTGAAAAACAACCCCCAACCATCTGTGTTTAAGTATTTCTGTGTAGTCACTGGAGAGCCTACAGTCCACTTTATGTGCACTGACAGCAGGAAGCAGCCCTCGTCCTTCATCAGTTTCGTCTGTGGTACGTATTTCTATATCCCCAATATTTAAGGATAAATTTGGATGGAATATTCATTATTTCGTTACTACCAGAAATTTTCAAAGACATGTTTGTTTTGATGAGGGATCCAAGACTCTTCCAAACTATCTTTATGCATGTAGTAAGATCTTGTTCAGTATTTTAATATTTCAAATAGCTGCCTACAATACGTACTAGATATCTTCATAGCAGTATACACATCCACAACATATTTTACTATACTACAGCTCCTTCAAGTCAATCGATTATTTTGAAATCCTTCTTAGTAGCAGTTCCCACAGTCATCACCTGCATTTGCACAGCTATTTGTTCTATTATTATGTAGATACTTTTACTTAGCACAATTATAGAGTACTAACTGTGTAATAAAGATAAAGATGATCTGTGCTTAATGGGACTTTACATTTATGGATCAGTAATGACCATGGAGAGTCTGCTTTTAGTTACACTCTACATGCACTCATGACTTCAGATCTATATCTAAAAATAATTATATGGATTTGAGCTAAAAAAAAAAATCTTTAAATAAAACTTATTTATTTTCTCAGTTTTTACCTTAATGCAACCTATATTGCAAACACCTTTAGAAATTAAGGAGAACATACTAAAAAAAAGAGCAAACAAAACTCTAAAGCCAAGGGAATTTGGAAAAAAATGTCTTCATGGAGGGAAAAATGTCTCAATGAACTTTAGACTTGCAGAATACTTCCTGAACCTCTCCCCTCAGCTGGTTAGAATGCCACCACACCTACAGCTCCTTCTCAGCAGCCAGCAAAGCCCGGCTGCTCACTCGTACCGCGCAGACAGCGGTACCTCGCGCGTCAGGCTGGAACTGTGGCTGTGGTGAACGCTGACTCCTCTGCTCGCGTGGCTCCTCCTTGAACTGTGGCCAGTGCTTTCTCCATGGTGGTGGCGGTGGCTGCTGCTGCTGCTGCTGCTGCTCATATGACAGTTTGCTGCATCAGTGCAGCTCGTTAGTCCAACAAATAGAGTGAGCGCTGACAATGTGCTGTTTGGCCTGTTCCGATCTGGATGCTATGAAACAAAAATAGGTTAAATAACTATGGCATGGCCTCTTGTTTTACAGTGTAGACATCAAAATCAGAGCTATGAACCTCCCTCTATAGGTAACAGATAGACTTAGACACATCTAGAGTGTTTTTATTATCATAATGCAGACATGAAATATGTTGGGTAGGAATGTGAGATAAACCTGGACCTCTCTGCTGATAGGAAGGCCATGGAGACAGTGATTGCAAATGGCAACATCAGGTTGTCTAGGTTTAATGTAAGTGGTCAAACATATTCATATTTTTTAGAAATAAAAAAGAGATTACAATTTAATTTAAAACACTGTAAATCATCTTCCTCTTTCCTAAGCAGGATACATAATAACTTTACAGGTAACACCTACAAAAGCCACTACATTATCATTCTTCTAATTGACACCTAAAATAACTTTGTGCCATAATGCATACTGAACCTGGTTTCCGATACAACCCCCATACATGATGATTTTGCCATAACTGCCTTAAAACTGTGGACACAGCTACTCCCGTTGGAAGATCCTGCTGTTTTATAATTCCCTTATGCTGTTTATTAAGTTAGCTTTGACTGCATTGTACAACATATAGCTCAAAGGTGTCCTGACTGAAATGGGAGGATTGCAAGTACTGCAACAAAGATGCAGTACAATAGCTGGTACTTTAGTAACAAATCTGTTTATTTTGGCCATCACTGATGTTGTTATTGGACAGTATGGAATGTTCAAGTGACATGAACCAAGCAAAGCTCTTCAGTTATGTGCTTGATCATATCAACTGTAGCCACCACAGGAATGTGTACTTGAATTAGAGACCTACCCAATGGACATGAGCAGACCTGAAATGGAGCCGGTATACTTTTGGAAGGTGATATTCCTGCAAAATTCCAAAAGAAGTTATTACCTACAGCTCAGCAAGAATCACCTCCTAGCAGAAGTCAAAGCATTAGAAAATGTTACCCATTCTGTAGAAAGGTCATCACTACTGTGCCTTTTAAACTGGGACTCGACATGTTTACTCTCAGCTTGTCTGTCATATTTGCTGTGGCGACGGGAAACACCAATGCTTTCACTGCTGCTGCTGGTGCCACTGCTGGTGCTTCTGCTGCTACTGCTGCTACTCTGTGTTTTATGCTTCTGCTCATGCACACTTCTCTTCCCAGCAGTGCTGGCACGTGGAAATGATGTGATCTTGGACTGCTTCTTAGCCTTATGCTTTATACCAGATGCTTTGCTACTGCTGCTGTTGCTGCTACCTGTGCTGCTACTGCTGTTGCCTTTGCTGCTGCTGCTACTGCTACTACTTCTGTCCTTGCTGCTGTTACTGCTGTTGCTGCCCTTGCTGCTGCTACTACTGCTACTGCTTTTGCTGCTGCTACTAGTGCTTTTGCTGCTGCTACTACTGCTACTACTACTGCTTTTGCTGCTGCTACTACTGCTTTTGCTGCTACTACTGCTCCTGCTGCTACTACTGCTTTTGCTGCTACTACTACTGCTCCTGCTGCTACTACTACTGCTGCTACTACTACTGTCCCCACTGCTACTGCTACTGCTGCTGTCCCCAAAGGGGTAGAATTTCTTTCCTTTAGCTTTGGACTGTCTTGCTTTCAGATTTGTCTGGATGCCTCCCTGTGATGCTCTGTTGTCAGAGTCGCTGCTGGAGGGGCCACTCCTTGTACTCTTGGCACTTCCACTGGTGCTGCTGGCACTAGACGATGAGCTTCCGAATTTTCTTGTCCCCTAGTCAATGATACCATTGGAAAAACAAAATTACATAAAATCAGATACAGAGAGCTGTGAATCTCTGTGCTGCCGTAGAAGAGAAGAGGCATGCCTGATAGATTCTTGAAATACATCACAATAAGGCAAATTGATGTGTTAAAATCACACATAAGTAGAACACCCCAAATCCTTTTGTGATAATGAACATGTGTAGAAATTGTTTATCATACAATTACATGTAATTAATATTGGTAATGCCAGTGCTGCAGCTGTGACTATCTCAGGGCAAGCCGTGTAAGTAGGTGTCATACCTTTTTGCTACAGTTGCAGTAGCTGTAAAGAACAGATTACCTTTTGGGCACACTCTTAAAAGAGATTTTCAGAAAAAAACTACAAAAGCAACCTGCTCTTTCTAATGTCTTTCACCTGCAGAAGAGATGAATGCAAACAAAAAAACTGCAGAGAGACTTGTGTACCCAAAAGTCTGTCTTTATTTCCCAATTTTTGTACACTTTTTAAACACGGAGGCTACTTAGCAAAAGAAATATGAATAACTAAGCTTTGTGTAATGTCTCTCACAAATATAGAAGTACATTTTTACAGCAGTACCTGGTCATCACTGTCACGAAGGATTTTCTTCACTCTCTTAATTACTATTTTGCTGGAAGATACTTGTGCCCCTGGATCTTCAAATGTTACTAAACGTACCATTTTTGTAGGAGCTTGATCTCCTGCTTGAATTGTGACTTGTATTTTTTCAATAGGTGTCTCTGAGTAAACTGAAATTGCACGACAATTAGTATTACTGTTAGTATTAGTTACTGAATAATAGAACAAGACAATTTTTATTATAATTTATTTAACAATTTTTCCCTAAAAAAAAAAAATATAAATGCTCATTGAGTATTTTTGGTATTGAGCAACCTTGTTAAAAAATTTCTGTAATAGCTAAACCACATACTAGCAATAACCAAATTTTAAAATATTAGCATGATACCAGATTATTTTGCAGTCAATAAACAGAATGATCAGCAGATTTAAGCCAAGTGAATTGGACTGCTTAACTAGATAACGCTATGGGAGAGTGAATTAGGCATCAGAGAGGAGCTGAGGCTCAACTCCTGAATCGTAAAGAATGGCCCAATGGTTAGGCCATTAGTTTGATACTTAGGAGACCGAGATTCAGTGGCCTGCTGTGCTTTTACTTCTTATGATCATGGATTAAGACATTAAGGACTAGATCCTGGCAGGGTTCATCCATAATTCCCTTTAAGAGTTTGGGTTTATAGAGTGTAGCTACAGGGCACTGCATCAGATCTGTTGCCCATGTCCAATTGCTCTGTGCTTGCATCCCAAATCCAATGATTCAGGACGCATCAGACACGCTCTGCAGGCACAGATCAACTCTGCTTGACGCTGGGCACGCTGAGCGGCGTGGCCGGGAGGGCTGGGAAATAGCTGCTCAGATGAGTAGGGGAGAAGCGGATTCCTGCTACAAACGTAATCTGTTACCAACACTGGCAGGGCTGGTATGTCTAATGGTAGTTTTACTGGTACTGAAGATACAAAAGAGATATACATACATATACAAAAACATATGCCTATATGTTCACACCCTTACCCACCCACCTGTTACCTTCTTTTTGTGCACAGTTTTATTTACCTGGCTTGAAGCTCACTCTAAGTGCATGCTCTCCAACTAGGTAATAAAAAGGCACGTTTTTGATAAATGCTGCATGTACACTTTTTCTCTCAATGCACACTTGAACCCCAAATGTACTTGCATTGGAGCACGCGGACTGAAAAAATGGCTGTTTCTGGGAAGAAGAACGTCCAAAGGAAAAGGGATCTTCCAATGAAACATCTTCTGCAGACTGTCTGTCCTATTAGATAATACACATATCAAGTTAAACTGGACAACAGTAAGAGGAAGACGTGCATGTTATGAGTCCTGCTTCAGTTACAGTTACGTGTATTCTGCAGGAGGATTTAACCAGCTTATTTGGAAGGTGACATAGAACAACCTGATTTCCAACTGGACAAAATTATCAACTGAATGGCTTGATTAGACTATCTAGAGTAAAAAGAGCTTCAGGCTATAAGAAGGGAAAATTATATCACAAAGTAATTCTAAATATTTAATTTTATTTTCCTCAAGTATTAGACAGTCTTAACAGGTTCTTGATTAATCTGAGTGTGCTCTAGAGTGACTGGAGTTCTTGCCTTTGATTTACGATTGGGTACAAACGATAGAATTTTCTTGGACATAGATGAAGATTCTATCTCAGTTGAGGTCTGACATGAATGTGAGACTATATCACCTAGATGGTCAAAGCATATCAGATGTTAGAAGTTTCCACTCAAAACTATGTAAACTACATGTGCTAAGCAACACTTGCAGAAGAACAAACTAAAATTAATTAAAATTAGACTTAAATCAATGAAATGAAACCTATGATTTCCAGGAGCAACAAAGCAAATAGCTAAAGACACATAATCATAAGCTTTCGTTTCACATGTAACACAGGTGTGCAATTAATTTTTTACTCAGTTTATAATGTCTCACAAGATTCCAAACTTGTATGAACTCCACTGAAAAATGTGAATTTTAATGCTAATCTTTTATTTTCAAAGGAAATTCTAATGATACTGGGAAATGCTCCACTTACTGACATTTTTCAGTTTCTGTTAATTTAAGAATAACTATGGAGTGCTGAGTTTTCATGAAGGGCATCACAGAGGCACAAAGCAGAACCTTGCTTGTTCCAGGATATTGGAAACTGCTCTCACTGACAGTATGTTTGCCTATTGACTTCTCCATAGGAAAATGCTGTAATTATCCTCTGTTCGTCTCTTATTTTATCTGAAAACCTTTCAGAGTTGCAAGATAACAATGAAATCATAACAGGGCAGTGTATTCCTCAGCTCTGTCAGTCTTTCACTGAATGGTCACAGTAATGCCTTCACAACGCTACCCATCATAGAAAACCTGTTCTAGTTTTTATGGAAAACTGTAGGTCAGGAAGCCATTTGACTTGACACACAAATTGACACCCATCCTTGAATCAGGATGCCTGTAAGCATTAAACTTGGTTCTACAAGGTGGGCAATGAAGTGTCTCATGGAACATTCATGCCTGTCCCAGGAATGTGATGCTTGTATAATGGTTGCAAAGTATGCTAAAGATTGTGGGCCTATCCTGTAGATGGCAGTGTAAAATTAATTACTAAAGAAAATGCTTTTGCTTTTGAAAAAGTGTTGCAAGTCTGATGTATTACACTCTAGATTTTAAAATAATCTTACTATGGGGCTATTTGTGTTATTAGATTGAACCTGACTTATTTTGAGCAAAGCAGCATTGGTCAGAGACGAAATGTACATTTTCCTATGGAGAAAAGAAATGGTCTCCTACTGATTAAAAGCCTCAAAAGGAATAGTCAGACACTACATCATTTACCCTGATTTTATCAGTCTCGCCTGATGCAGAATCTGAATCGAAGGACATCTTCATTATGTCAGGCACTGCTTCAGGTAGAAGAACTGGAGTTATCTTACTAGCAGTCAAATCCCCAATATTTCGTGTAACAGCAAATGTCTTAGACCTGCAGAAGAAACATTAGAGGAAACCTATATCAATAAAGCACTGCTGAGGAAAAGACCTGAATAATGCCTTGTAGCACGTACTTAGCAACAAGTATCATACCTTGCAAATTGCTTTACAGATATTTACAGCATCTTTCCTGTTAGTCTTATTTTCAAGGACTGCTAAGAGTGAATAGACATGGACCAAACTCAGGGGCAGATAGCTCAGTTAGGCCTTTAGAATTACGTGTACAGGTTAAAAGCATTGCAGTTGACAGGATCTCTGTATGCCTAATGCCTTGAAAAACAGCCCGTTTACTTAGAAGCCTGGATGCGGACTAAGTTATTAAATTTTTGAGTCTCCTATTTTGTTCTTCTGGCCTTTTAAATTTTTAAGCTCTTCTGCGTGTTCACTGCTAACCTTAGTTATGATTTCCTTTGACATTATATTTGGAAAAATACTGCCAAAACTTCAAAATACAACTACTGAATGCTATTTCTTGTGCAATTTTTGTTAAAGCAGATTAAAGAAAGGAGCCTGAACTCATCAAAGTAACTGTCTCCAGACTGATCTAACTGCATAGGTACTCATGGTTTGGCCATGGCTTGGCAGGACATCACAGAGAGACATGTAGGAAGGTTAAGAGCCTATTTATGTAAATGTGTTCAATACATAGTTTCCAAGTGTTGTTGGCTCTTAACAGTATTAGTCAGAACTTGGATAAGTGATACAAGGTGCAGTATGAGACAGACTCTCATGGCTAAATATCCTGACCCCTTGGCTCCATATCCCATGTTCTTCATCAAAGTTGTTGCAGTGCTGTGACAACTATGAGTTTTCCTTTAGGTCAGAGAAATATCTTGAATATTGAATCCTTTGAGAGACAAAAACTTATTATGCTAACTCTATCTTATTAGCCATTTACCAGCGCTAACATCCAGCTAGAAATTCCCCATGTGCTGTTTCTCTGATATGAAGTTGATCTGCTTGCCCTGGGGTTTTTGTGGTCTGCCAACGGAAGTGACCTTTGTGACAGTGAGCAGAAAGATGTTCTGCAAAATGGTCTCTATTTTAATATGGTCCACACTGTACTAGCCTAGGCAATTCCAATCTAACCTATTTGAAAGATGAATTTGTATTCATTCGATAGCCCTCTCTTCCTCTTGAAGGCTCCTACTGTGCTGTGTGCACTGTAAAGCACACAATTGCACTTCATGTGGAAGACCTCAATAAAACGTGTGTCACCTGTGGGCTTTGTTTTCTTTTCCATCTCTCTCTTTTTTGAGATAAGGACATGACAGCAACGCTCCACGCTGGGTGAGAGGAGAACCTTGAAGAATGGAATCTGAAGTAAAATATTCTCCCTAACAAGCCGAGGGGATAAAAGAAAATACAAATCAACTTGTATTTCAGATGGCTCATCTGGGTAAAGGGACAAAAAGGGAAATGGCTTTTATTTTAATCCCATTCAATAATTCAAATGACCACTGAACTGCAGGCTGGGTCTCCAAGCAGAAAGCCCTGGGGATTCTCTTCCAATTTTTTTTAGTATTTTCTATGCCAATAGTCTACTCCTGCCACCTAATGAAAGTGGAGGATCGATTCCTCCCTGTTGAGCACAGAGAGCTGACAAATGTAGCTGCATCACAGGTGACACATGTCAATGTCTGCAGAATCACACGGCACAGTAAAAATAGGCTACAAGAGCCAGCTCTGGTGCTTTAACAAGAAAAACAGTCACAAAGAAGGCCTAAAGCTATGGTATGAAAGAATCTGTTCTCTCTGATCCCACACAAGGGAGAAAAAATAAAAGGGAGATTTTCCAATATGTATTAGTGTATTTTTTGGATGAGAAAAGAAGCTGTGCTATAGTATAAGTCAAATTCACTGCAGGGGTAAGGGACAAGTAATTCAGCTGCGTTGGGCCCACTGATGTTTCAGTGAGTGTGGCCTTACATACATTCCTAACATGGGCACAGAAGAGCTCAATGTCTGTTTAAAACAAAAAAAATCAATGAAAAACTATTTTCCCAGGTTTTAAAGCACAGCATGACATGGTATCTAAATAAATGAGAAGCATGAGACAATCCTCCAACCAGATCTTTAGCTCTCTTTCTGCTGTGGCGAAATGAAAATTTCTGCCTTTCCTACACATCATCCTTCTGACCCTGTTGCAAAGGTGTTATAAAAACAGAGGCTTGAAGCACCAGCCATTACCCTTCTCTGTCCCCAAACACACTGCGCTGCTTTGCGAGCTCACAGCATACGCTGGCTCATCTGCATTTTCTGTTACACGTGTTGTATACATGTTGTATACAGTGTTGTAATTTCATAATTCATCTTATAAATAAGATGCCCATGTGAAGCAATTTCTGCTTATCTTAAAGTTAAAACAAGCAAAAAAGCCCTAAGAGAGAAGCTCTATTCAAGATTATGTATATACTTCAGTAGCCTATCATTATGAATATGTGATATATTTGCAAAGTGCATTCTCTGGCAGCTCTCCATATTTATACTTTAATCACAGGGCTCTAATTTTCCCTGAAATTTATTTGGTTTTTACTTCTTCCTGTAAATTTTGTTTAAAAGTATGTTTAAGTTGCCATCTGTGGTATACCAAATAATAATGTTATAAGAGCCTTAAAAATAATCATTATTTTTAATTAAATTTATCTTTGATAGGATTGAATTGAAACACATGCTATATATTCTCTCCATGGTATGATTAATTATTTTGCTCTGAGTTCTGCTATAATGAAAGTCGAGTCCATAACGGGCTGATTTGTCTTGGGAATGCAATCTTTCTATCACCAAAGTTTTCATTATTTTTCTTCTTTAGAGTCTGTGATTGCTCACCTGAGTTTCTCTTTGGCTCCTGAAAACTTATATAAATCCCACAGCTGTGACAGGTTATAACCTGTACAGTGTGTAGGATATAACGGAACTTAATGTTATTGAAGACTGTTTGCTTCCTGCGTCTGGGTGTGAGAGTTGAAGGGGAAAATAATATTACATCCTGACCAGCTTTAATGACATGGTACTATATAAGGTAACCCACTGACCATCAAGACAAAGTGTCCAATACTAAAATATTTTCAACAGAGCTCACGAACAAATGAAAGAGCAATAGCTTTCTAGAACCGTTTCTTTAAATGGGGAATTTAAAGCTAACAGGGGAAGGTTTCAGAATATCTCTAAAATACTGAATTCAATAGCTTCTTTATTCTTTGGTGCAGCTATGCAAAAGAAAGAGAAAGTCTATGTGAAACTAAAATTTGTGACTCATGTATAGAATATATACGTATCTTTCTCTCTCTCTCATGCCTGCTTATTTCTCTTCATACCTTGAAGATTTTACTTTGCTTGGTCTTTGACCTCCTCAGTGATGTCGTTCAATGTTACATTCTCTAGTTATTGCTTTGCCTTCACTTGTACTCATTGCTGTTTCATTGCTCTGTGTGGTTTCCACTGACCATTTGTTTTGTAACGGTGAACGGGAATGCTGTTTAGAGAAAAACTGATGGTGCTAAAAGTTAGGTAGTGAGTATTAGCTTTCTCATATACTTGGCATTATAGAGCTATTTCTGACTGACTACTTTGCTTTATAAATCATAATGCTGCAGGGTCTAGAGCAGGGCTTGGGCTGGGACTCATGGACTCCACTGCTGTAATCCCTGGCTGCTGATCCTGACTTGCTTTATGCTTTCTGGCAATGTATTTAACTCTCTTCGTGTCTGATTTGATTTCCCCTTTAGTCAAAGCAGGAAAATATTTTTTCTTTTGCTTTGTAAGGAGGATCTTTCTGCTAATATTTGTAGCTCTGTTTGAGGCTCCAAACTCCATATCAGTTTGGATATTCTCTCCAATATTCTCATTTCAGTTCATCATCCTTATTGAATTCATTAATATCTGCCTCACTGTCTCCAACCGTGAGCACTAGTGAAAGCAGATGCCTGCTATTCCTGATGATCTTGGGAGCAGACTGCCCTGGTCTTCACAAGAAACTGAACAAAACTGAACAAAACTGGGGCTGTGGTGCCCCAGCAGCTTATGTGCAGCTGACTGATGCTCTATGAACTGCCGAAACCCTCATTCCTCTGCACAGAGAAACTAATTACAATCACATTTGATGGGGCAGAGGAATTGTCTTAGGGAGGACAACTTAATGACAAGTGCCTACTAGGATGGTCTGTGACCACTGAAGGGCAAGAGAGGATAATGATTAGCCTAACTGGTGGCTAAACTGAGGAGACCTGCAGAGCTTCTCTGGGCCAGCAGCCATGAACGCCAATTGCAGCTGATCAAGCAACCGAGCTCTTTTTTTACAGCTGTATTCGTAGAGCAGAAACTTGTTAACATTTCTGCAGATTGTATAATAGCTGGTTTCCTTCGTCATGGACGCTTTTTCCTTTGTGATGAATTTTCAGCTTGTCTTCCTCAGTATTTTTTCATGTATGTGTGTGAAGGTTTTCTAAGCTTTGGTCTGCTGCTTTGATTCCTTGGACATACTCTTTCTGTTTTCATCCTCTCTTTGTGCTTGTATTTCCATCTGTTTTCATTTGCTTGGCATCTGGCTGCAACAGTTTTCCAGAGTGTATTGTAATTGCATGCACTAATAATAAATCAAGTAGACCTAACAGGCAAGAAAACCAAATGGCAGCCACAGGGAAACAAGGTAAAAACACAAGAAACACCAAATCCTCCATGCTTCAAGGCATCAAATGCAAATATATATGGGTTATCAGTTATAACTGATAGGATTCAGCTGGTTTATATCCTACCTAGTGTCTCCAGTTCAGATATATGTACTTGGATAGAAATTTTATACCATTTGTGTTTCCAACAGCTTATGGGTCTCAAGAACTGAGAAATGGTCCTAAAGAAAATTTTCATGTGAAGACCACAGGAAGCAATGCATATTTTCAAGCAAAGCTTTGGTATGTGTCACTTCATTTAAAATAAATAAACTACACCAATTATTGCCAGTTATCCAAGCTGCCAGTCAAAGACAAGATGCCTAAGCAAATGTTCTATTTGGAAAGACTCTGCATTGCTACATAGAAAGATAAGTGCTATGTCTTACCTTACAGTAATTACGTTAGTCTCCTCTTTACATGGTGGAATTTCAATTTTGATATTTTTTTCCTTTATATCAACAGTGGCAACAACATTCACAGGTACATGAGCATTCATTTTGGTGTGTGCTTCCAGCCCTGCCTGGACCATGTGTGTGTTGATCCCCATTACAAAGGTCATCTCCTTAGCCATGCTGAAAAGGTAGAATGAGGATAAAATTAAGTTCATAGGTCAAGCAGCTGCTGAATTTTTAAGGCCTCTCTCACTTGGAAATATAATTCATTTATTTTATATTAAATATTTACCTTAGACTCACTTTGGATCGCAGCCTAATGTTGGCATTTAGTAACTCAGTCAATCTGAAATCAGACTTTGGAGAAGGTGTAATCTGTGCTTGAACTATTACAAAGAAACCAAAGAAAGGTTAAACATCCCCCCCAATCCTGACAAGCATGTTTGTATTGCTCAAGTCTTGAAATACGTTACCATTTCCTGCCACTTTTGTGATGGAAGAATAATAAAAGCTGGTCTCTGTTGGGAACCCAGTGCAGGTGGGCACAATACAACGAATCTCAGAGGACAGTAAAGCCTTGGTCCACTGCCTCCCTACACCACTTTGGAGGCTACTGATTATTCTCTTTATCGAAGGGATTTTTTCATCAGGTCCATACCATGCCTGCAATTACAGAGTTCAACTTGTCTGAATAAGCGGAACTTGAATATCATGATCTGTGTGATTAACTGCTCCTCAGGGGAAAGTCTGCCAGCAATGATTATAACTAATCCTGGTCAAAGCTTGACCTTATTTGCCTTGATTAATACTAAAGACAAAAAACCCTCTTGAATTAAAACGTTAAAAAATTGAGAGAATTTGTGAAAGAAACTACTTTAAATCTTTCGATGCTCGGGTGGTGGTGTTTTTGAAATGATACCTGCAATGCATTTTGGATGGCGTTTTTATCAAGTCCACCAAAGAACAGCTCTTGGTTAAACATCTTCAAGAAGACTGATGCAAAAGGTTTGTCACTGGAGAATGCCTTCCAGTCAGAGAGCTGCATGAGAAGAGGAAGAAGGTCTGATTCTTCATAACATTTGGGGAAGCAATGCCTTAGAGATTTTCTTTTCCCCAAGAATTTACCGTTTTCAGGATTTTCTTGAAATCATAGTCAATCTCCCAGTCCCTGTCAGGAGAGGAACCTTTCGCAAACATCTCCTGCAGTCCTTCAACCGTTATTCCCACCTGTGAGAAGAAGTAAAGCGTAAATGTCAATTGGATGACGGTCGTAAAAAGGGATGAAAGGGCAAACTGCAGGTAGTCCCCATTACCTCCAAGGGATCAGCCACTCTTCCAAGGAAATGTGTCCGCAGCTGAGACATTGCCATTGTTGGGATTAAGCTGCCCGCATTATTCAGTACCAAATATTTAGCTGCCAGTCCACTCATAAGGAACTCTGAAGAGAAATAGGCAGTAAAACACAGCACGGCTAATTTTTAAAGCCACAGTGTGCAGATCGTATCAATTTACTAATTGCATAATTCAACAGATACAGCATAATATGAGAAAGGCCAGAAAACCCAGCTATAAAACTGGTGATATAAAACAGTCATAAACAGAATATTCTGCATTTTTGAACTATTAATGGGCAAAATTACGAGCTCGCCTGCTCATTGCATGGTGGTTACGCTATTTTTCCGATTGCTTTGCTGTCTCATTTACATCCGGTCAGATTCTGTAACGTCAGCTTTTGAAATGGTTTTATGAGACATCATTTAAGGGAACTTGACAAAGGGGATCAGAAATGAAAATAGATTTGCCATCCTTTGCTAGTAGTTTAGGGAAAGTGATATAGATGTCCTGTAAGGACAGATGGTGAGGTGTAGATTTGTCTCTCAAATGACTCAGAGGCAATTTAATACATCTAGTTCCAAATGTTGTAACTCCCTATATGCAATGCACTAATTGTTAAGCAATTGTTAACTATGAAGTGAACTTCGAGCAAACATAATTTTTATTGATTTTCTCTATTTTAGATTTATCATCTATAATGTTCTTAGATACAGATAATCAGTGCAGAGCACAGTCATGTATTCTTTCCAGTCTTGGTACAGTCTATACAGTCTTGTTTTCTGAATTAAAGTAATCCCAAAGCTTTTCTAAGTTTCCTTAGGTTTCAAGAGAAGCAAGGCTGACATGATACATAGGGATCCCTGTCATGCTTCCCTTCTTCCAGCCCTCCCCTCTTTTCTCTTCCTACACTAGTTGGAGGACAGGGAAGTACTTTAGGAGTTCCTGTGTTAAATTTCTGCTGTCCTCATGTTAATAGGCACCACATACTGATTAAATCTCAGCACCACCAGAAATCAGCTTTGGTAATCTGGTAAAGCCAGGACAACTGCAGAGCCCTGGAAGATCCAGACCATGAATTTCAGTACCTGTACAGAAATTACTGATGAATTGTAGGAAATAGGTTTTCAAACACTATGAGAGGGAGTGAGTCTTTGACCTCTTTCCAGAAAAGGAGTCCCTAAATTCTCATAAATTATTTAGCCAAAAGTTAAAGAAAAGATTATTGCTTGTTCACAAATGCGGGGCATTATGAATAATCATGCCCATACTACTTTTCTACTGCCACTCTCTGTGTTTCAGATAACATCTCACTTGTGAGTCAACACTTTCCCATTTTCTCCTGAATCTATGCATGCTGACAGGGGTCTGGATGGTCCTTTACCCTTGTTTACTCCTCACCCAAAGTCATTTTGTATCAGATTGCTGGGACTAATTTTGATTTCTAATTTGTCAGGACAGATTTCAACTTTTCATGTATTTGAGAAATAGTCTGTTGGAAAAGCAATCCACTTAGTCTACTAAGTCTGTATGAATGTACATCACCTTCACTGTTTTGCTATATGAAGCTCCTGTGCTACTCAAAGTGCTAGGCACTATCTACCTACAACACACATGCTTCAGTAACAGCTCCTACAATCAAAATACAGGTGTGTATGCCACCCCATTGATGGCAGAGGAATCAGTGGGGAACCTTCAGTAGATGGACAAAAGCTCACATTTTAATGCTGATCCTATAGAAAATAAAAAGCAAAGCAATGCTACACTGTGACATTACTAATAAGCCGACTCGAGACTTGGAAATGGGAAGACTAGTATTTCTCTGAATGAGCTTAACCAGAACAGTCCCAGGTGTCACATGGACTAGACATTAGAATGAGGCATGGTATTTTCAGTGAATTTGTTAAGGCTCTTTTTGTGTTCTAACCCATGAAAACTGTTAGTTAAAAACCCCCATGGTATTTACTGATACTTAATAAGAAGTGTTGCTCATAAATGATTACATGATTATACAGAATTCATTGACTTGAAGAGAGCAAGGATATTTTCCATACCTCAGGCATTACATAGCACTAATGCTCTAAAAAAATATTTACCAATGAAAAATCCTACTGACACAATCAGATGACACACTGTAGCCACTTCACTGTGAGACCGTGACGACACCTGCATGTATCTGACTAAATGTCTTGCCCCAAGAAAGAGGGAAAGAAAAATCGGTGATCAAAGAAAGCAGTCTTTGGTACCTATGAACATTAGTACACATATTTAATTATATGGATCTGTAAAAATAGAGAGTCAGATTCCATCAGTCCTCACATTGAGCAGAACCTAGGTCATCCCTTTGATTTCAGTAGCAGTGTGTAGAGCATGAAGCACTATTTGTGGTGGCCAGGTGAGACAGATTTCAAATTAGAGACAGATTCAGCCGATGTTATTGGCCATCATTAAAAATTCAGCATCTAGCACCACAAAGATCTGTGATGCTGAGGGCACATTTTTGTTTTTAGCAAGGAAATAGGTACCGCATTATGGTCGTCACTATGGTAACTCTTCCAGAATGGACTCACTGAGACACATTTCACCTATGGCTAGTGGTGACAAATCAAATCAGAAAGCTGGAGGACAGATCCTCCTCCCACACCAGTGTAATAGACAACTGACTTCATGCAGCTAACAGAGTTACCCAAGTCTAAGATTAGCATGTGAGAGAAATGCATCTTGTTCCTTATTCTTCAGGATGAGAGGTTTAAATATTACATATGCACGGTAGCCAAATTTCTGACACTGGTCTTCACCAAGAATTAACAGCAATTCATTGATGTGCTGCATTTCCAGGCTACAGCCAGAATAAAGTAATCCATTTCACATGGTCCTCCACCAGCTACCCTCATGTGCGCCGCACCCTTCTTTCTCACTGTGTGAAAATTCATATAGCTTCATTTTAAAAGCAAAAATAAGAGAAGAAAATGAGTACCTAAAACTAGAAACATATCTGCGTGTTACTGGAAAATGCATCTCTCCTTGAGTGCATTTTAAATGGTACAGAAGTTCACACAGTGCATATTAGTGGCTGTATTTCTTTGGGCACTCTCTGTCTCCATCTCTGAGGCAGCAAGCATGTGTATCATATATCACTGTGGTTGTTGTGGTATGTATTATATTTATTTTCATTACAGAGCCGATTAAATGGTCATGTAAACACCATGAAACAGGGGCAGGCAGGGCAAAAACAAGATCTACAGAAGTCTTTCAAACCACTCCCTCCTTCCAAAAAGAAGGCAAAAGTACTTGTAAACTTAGCACTGTGGATTTCAGATGTTTCAGTCTCTTTTTCTATTGATTACTTTGAAAAGAATCTTTACATGTATCAGTGAATAACGAAAGTGCTAAAAACACTAGATAAACAGCATGTGTAAGGAGACTGTGTTTGTAGATATAATCTCCATAGTCTGCCAGCTACATATGCCAAATCACTGAGGTTGTCATGGTCATTTACATAGAGGAGTTGCTTGAAAAATCTCTACTGAGAAAAATAACATACACAGGAAATAGAAATAGCTACAACTTGGCCCAGCAAAAGGTGTCTTCTAATCTGGTCCTCTCTACTCTGACTACATTTTTATGTGCAACTCTCATTGATGTAACTGGTCAGCATCCAGATCCCATGTGTGGATCTGCTCATTCCAGTAAAGGATCCTGGTAGGAAGGTGCAAGAAAAATCTTTAGATCATAAGCCTGAGTTAGCTGTTCATGGGTGCAATGAATTATCACATCTGAATGTTTTCAAAGCTTGCTGTTTCTCTGGGCATTACTGTTGGGGTGAAGAGTATTTAGTCTCACATTTTAATTCAGTAAGAATTGTAGGTGTGCAGCACCGGTAGAAATTCATCCACTTCAGAAGTAATTTAGGTCCCTTCTGTTTGTTTGGTACAGAACAATGGTATGAAATTCTTAAGCACCACTGAAACTACGGCGTTTGATACAGGAGCATGTGCCTCACCGGCTAACGAAAATGGAGGGTTAGAGCCCCACAAGCCCTCCGGTAATTTCACAATTTTTCACAACATGCAGCTAACCAGCTGGCTAGGAGAATTGGGTTCTTATACTGTACAATTTTTTTCACACATTGACTTGTATAGATTTCTCCACAAAATCTTCTGAATCTTACCTTTAAACATACTGAAGCTGAAAACCTTGCTGAACAGATATCCAGATCGATCAAATTTGGAACTTAATACTCTGACAGCCATTCTGCAGGCAGAAGCCCTGAAAAAATTCAGTGAGCACATTAACATCTCAATTAGTTTGCAACAAGTTTTTCATTAGGGAAGGGGTCCAGATTTTCCTTACACTGCTTGAAGATCTGGAGCTACGCTTCTACCCAGGGCCCTCAGGTGGGAGTAGATGAAACTTGCCACTTGCATGCTAGGTTCCTTCAGCACAGCATCAGCTAATGTCATCAGTATTGGAAGACCCGGCCTGGTTTCAAGTAAAACCACTGCAGCTAACATTCGGACCCGAGGATGAATTTTACGATTCAGGAAAATCTCAAGGGTAATAGCCTGGACCTGAAAACAATAGATACATTCAAATTTACAGTATGTTTGAACATTTTGTTAATAACCATTCATTACTGGTGAATGATCTCTTCATCACTAGTACAGTAAAAATCTATATTATTCAATTATTATGGCAACGGTATTCCTGGTTTCATAGTCTGAGGGCTGGAAGGGGCATTATGGTAACATAGTCTGACTTCCTACACAATCAAAGCCAAGGAACTTCGGTGGATAACTTCTACATCAAATCTATTAACCCTTTTTGAGCGATAGCAAAATGTATGTGCAGCACAACCACTCTAGGTAAAAGAGATTTCATGGACCCTTTGCATACCTGAGAAGTGGTTTCAGTGATCACTTACCCCTACCCATAAAGGTATGCCTTATTTATAATTATTTGATCTCCTGAGGCCCTTTCTGCTAAATAATAGAATAAAAATGAAATGAGGAAACTCAGTTTACTAACAGAAATCTCTATGCCATGTAGGCAGCTTAAAACCAAAGGTTTATGCAACAAATGTAATTTCCACAGTACTACTTGTGACTAATGTATTTGACCTCAGCAATACTCAGTATCAAGACTAATTTTGTACTGGAACCTTTGCAGATTCCATGAACTGCACTGAAGCCTTTGACTCCAACTTCAAAATGGATGTAGATGGTGTGACACTGTTCTGGCAGCCCCTCTGCACAGTCCTGTCCTGCCCGGGACAGCGTGTGTGCATGCTCTCTAATGAAAAGTCTGATCCAGAAAACTTCAAAACTTTGGAAACACCCTGACTGGTTTTATTAACTTGAATATGCTAATTATCAAATACCAAGGCAAAAGTGGTGACAAGGATGCAGTAGCCTCTTTCTAAATGTAACTACCTTTTGAAATTAAACAATAAAAAAGACAGTGTGGTGTGTAGCTAGCTGCAAACCAGGCATTAAACTGGTTTTGAATAATGAAAAACACAGTCACAGTCATTAACTTACTCCAGATCAATTTTCTCCAAAGAAAATGCACAGAAAATGGAACTAAACAGTGGTCTGGGGCACATGTGGAAAGCCAGGCTAAAGGGCAGAGATATAACATTGTTTCCAAGCATCAAATTGTTTTTATTCCCTTCCCCAGCAAATACCTTAACTCTTACCCTTGCTATTGTCTCCTCCCTGCCTGCTTTTCCCCATCTAGCTCCTGCACTCCAGTAAATTGTTTCTTTATTCTTTTGCTTAAAAGCATACCCTGGCACACTATTGTCTGTGGATCAATATGTGCACTCAAACTGGGAGTCATATGCAAAAAATCAGTATAATGGAAAAACTGATACAGATTAGTTGGAGAATAGTTAATGAAAGCTTTTATTTTACTTTTTACATTAAGAACAGACTTACATAAAACAAAAAAAAAATCAGTATCAGGAAAAAATACTGAAAATGCAAGGTTTCTTTTTAGAAGCAGATTGCTTTAAGGTGAAATTGTAAAGTGATGTCTGAGGTGGATAAGAGTATGCCTGTGTAATCATTGTATGCGATATCCAATCATTATCTCGTTCAGGGACAAAAGTCACATTTAGTAAATGTTCTGTTTACGACTTAAACTCACACAATGTCTGTAAATTTGTAATTAGGATGCAAACCTCTAGTATCTATTTACAATACGATCTGGTCTTGAATTATGATTAGATGTGACACTAAGTATTAAATGTCAATTCTCTGAAAACCTTGTTTTGTGGTTCTTTCACATACCAAAGTTGAAGTAGCATTAGACACATTTTGGTCAATAATTTAGCTTTCTGTCTAATGTCCTTGGAAAACAAATGTTTGCAATGGAACTACTGATTTGTCTTCAACAACAGGGTAATGACTCTATCCTTTTAATGGGATTTTTGTTGCAGTCTGAAATACTGGAGGTTAATATCAAAAAGATTAGGACATGCCAACTAAGGAATGGTTAAGTATTTAAAGCCCCCCACATATTATAGCTTTATTTGAAAAATAAAGGTTTGCTTTCTCCTCATCACCCACCATCAGTTGGCAGCCTTGTGTTGGGTTATCATAAGTGCAAAGGAGCCCGCTTTGTTTCCTTACCATTTTTGGCTCTTTCATGCCAATGTTTTTCAGGGCCATCACAGCAGTTGTATGGACCTTGAGTGGCAAATCTGAGGCACCAGCTGCATATCCTGGCAAAAATTTCTTGATGTGCTTGATGCTGGCTGGATGTCCTACATTCCCAAGGGCTTTCAAAGCCAGGGAAATTTCTTCTGTGTTAGACTTGCTCAATGCATCTCCTGCAAAGCCATGAAGTAGCTGAAAAAAGAAAACAAATCTTTTGTTGAGTTCAATTCTAGCTCTTATCTGTATCCCATCCCCCAGCCTATTCTGAGGTTTGACTTTGATAATTTCAGTTTATTCAATTCACTTATTTTAAATATTTTCGAGTTCTTTTTGTCCTCATGAATAGGACATTTTATTCATAGAACAAACATAGCCAAGAAAGCTGCAGTGAACAGCTTCCTCATCACTACGCCTTAAAGTTGTCAAGTAAGATTTTTAAAGGAAAAAATAATGGATAGGAGCTAGTTTCCACTGTCTTTCAGGGTGAGTTGAGAACCCTGCAACAGTGCTGCTTAAATATTTCTGTCTCATGGCTGAAGACAGGTGCAAAAATGCAGATACAGTTGAATTCTTCAGACCCTTAAATAAGATTCCTGAAGATACAGCTAGTGGTGGTGCCCTTAATTTTAGCTATGACAGTCACTTTTTAGGGTGGATTAATAGCTGGCAATGAGATCATCAGGTCATTTTACAGCCTTTGATGTAAGCAACTGGATCACACTTACATTCACATGGCAAGATTAGAAGTAGTTGTCTGAAGGCTGAATGTGAGAAAACATCTAAATCTTGATAAAAACTGTTTTCAATGCTAAAAAATGGCTCTAAAAATGGCTCTAAAAAAGAAACTGTGATGTTATAAAACAATACAGTTCCCGTGCTTCAAAATATCACATTTGAGATCCATTGATGGTGTAGGAATAGTCCATTTGATATTGCTAATCAAATGAATAGAGATCTGAAATGCATTGACTAGGCCTACACAATCATTT